GTGTTGACTTTATACCTTCCAAGGACTGTAGATGATGCACAAGCTTGACTCTTTCTGGTCTTCTCTTGATTCCTCTTGGTTTTTCCTTCCTTCTTGTCACCACAAAACACTAAAACCACCAAAAACCCCTTAGGTCATTCACAACACAGTTAGGGTTCGAAATGAAGTGTTCTAGGAGCATAAAGGGGCGATGGAGTCTGTATAAGGTCATTTAAATAGGGTGCAAACCCTCTTATTAGGGTTTTGTCCAGCCAGAGCCTACTCATCGAGTCTTGCCGCCAACTCGACGAGTCCGCCACTTAACCCCCGGGTCCAACCGCTACTACTCGACGAGTTGGGCCATCAACTCGCCGAGTCTCAGTCTAGATTGTGAAGAATAATTGAATGAAATACATACCAGGAACTGGGTGCTACAACAATATGGTTTTAACCTAGAGCTCTGATACCATGTTATAAGATATAATACTTGATATTATTTGCTTGATGCTCATATGAAGGTCATATATATATATATATATATATATATATATATATATATATATATATATATATATATATATATATATATATATATTCTAAAGGGCTTAGGTTTAAACCCTAATCACTAACACAACCAAGTTCTACATGAATTTTTTGGCATGATTATAGATATGTTACTGAACTATAATTGAGCATATTTACCATAGAAATGTCGTCGAGGTGATTGTTGGCAATAGTAACCAACACGACATTTCATTTTTCACAATACTAAGTTCTTGTCAACCATTTCACGAGCTTTTCTCTAATTGCTGTCAATTGGATCAAACACATGTTTCTATCGCAACACACGAATCCCATAATTAAATAAATATGAAATATTATTAGTGATGTATTCACACTAATTTCTTTTAGTAGTATGTCATGCTTGGTAGGAATATAGGTTTTTCCATCACCTTATACTTTCTCAATATACATTGTTTCTTGAAATTGATACGTAGGTTTCATATACATTTTTTGTGCTCAACATTAGGTTAAACGTGCATGATTGCTACTTCTAACACTTTTTACATGTATATTGAGAAAACAAGACCATCCAACGTCCTAATTACTTGTTTAAGAGACTCAAGAAACCATGACCGTGATTGTATATTCCCTTATTTAAGCACACAATATGATACTTCGACACCAGTTGCAACAACTAGTATATTATTGAACTTTTTATTTTTAAATGAGAAGTATCAATACTACTATAAGGATAATACCCAACAAGAAATCCTAGGGCTGTGCATGGGTCGGTTTTGGACCCCAACCCAACCCAACCCGTAAATGATCAGTTTCTGGTTTTCAAAACCCAATAGGGTTGGTTTCTGGTCGGTTCGGTTTCTCGGTTTCTGATATTGGTTTGGGTGGTTTCTCGGTTTCTTGGGTTCAACCCATACACTTACGGTTTCTGGGTTTAAACCCATGGGTTTTGGGTTTGAACCCATTTTCCAGAAATGTAACAATTAGTTAAATAATTAAAAAAACACCTAAGCTTCTTTTATTTATTTTTATTTTTTAATATATATATATATATATATATATATATATATATATATATATATATATAATCAGTAAAAAACATCGGGTTTGCTGGATCGGTTTCTCGGTTTTAAAGAGGGGTCGGTTTCTTGGGTTGTTGGGTCGGTTTCTGGGGGCAAAACCGAAACTGAACCCGGAAAGTCGGTTTTTACAAATTTAAAACCCACACCATCGGTTTTCATTCGGTTTCGGTTTCGTCGGTTTTTGTCGGTTTCTTGGTTCGGGTTTGCTCACCCCTAAGAAATCCTCTCGCAGAAGCTACTACGGACGCAAAAAAACCTTTTGAAATGTTTCTTGTTACTAACCACATCAAAATTAATTTCAACAATGTTTTCTTGATTCTCATTTAGTAGATCCTCTTTAAATACACCGATCTTCATAAAAGAGTCTTCCCAGCTACCTTACATATGTATACACTTTTGTTTCCATCTAAAAACTTTTGATGTGTGTTTTTTAAATTTTTTTACGTTTTCATAATCCATCCATGAGAGATTTTCCATCATATTTTAACTGGTTGACAATTATATTTGCAATCCACCCATGAGTGGCATTCTTATAACCATCCTTGTTACTTCGGGTAAAAGTATAATTTTCTATAATTTTCCTAACATGAAAAGTAATAAAATAAACATAAATATATTTTCAATAGGAAACGTGTTATATACTCCCCGTCCCATATTAATAGTTCATATTTATTTATTGGATTGTCCCAAAATGATATCACTTTTACTAAAATACCCCTCATTATTAATTAAACTACCATGGAATTAAATGCAATTACCATGGAATTAATTGCATAAAAAAAGATACAATTGTCATTTCATTTAATAACATTAGTGATAATTAATGTTTTCTTAATCTGTGTGTTTTTTGTCCGTAGACAATAATATTTGTACGAAGGGAATATAAAATAGGTATACACTTTCTTCACTAGTAATCCCATCGTGCATTATAGACACATAACATTTCCACTGATAATCAATGCTTTCATACATTGCCGTGAATTGTGTCTTGTCATTTTTCAAAAAGAAGTAGTCAAACTCATTTGTGATTGCATAATGGTTTAAAGTTATCATATAATCAACTACATTTTCAAGTTTTGTGTCTACTTTCTAGTTAGACTATTCTTGCTAAATGAGTAAGCTTTGTCATCAACATTCATTGGTTCATCTTCATTATCAGAATTAAGATGATTGTAATAACTTTCTTCACTAGGAAAACATTCTGGATTTACATGTGGTTCATCTATGTTGCCACATAAGGGGTTACTTAGGGAAAGAGCATTTAAGGCATAGTTATTATACATTGTGAGGTAAATTGTTACTTCTTTCTTGTCTGCACACATGTGAGGTATAGCCATGGACTTTTTTTTTAGAATCAAGGTCTATACATGATTGGTCTCGTTCACACTTATCAACATAGGAAATAAAAATTTTGGATTTTTCTTTGATGAATAAGGTTGACTGCATTGAGATGATTCAAGTTGTATGACCATGTATCTACATAGATGCATTTTGAGAGCCAAAGCAATGTATTTTCCAATAAGTGTTCTCCACTAGCGAAAAAATCCCACATTTCAATTTTAGGTTGTATTTTCATGATGGTATACTAGAATAAACATACTCGATTAATGGAGACTCAACCATGTTCCACCATAACGTTTTCGATGTGTTGTCAAGAGTAATATCTAAAGTATATTCCATTTTAAAACAAGGTTTAGTTACGGATCAAATGAATTGACATAATAATCCATTTACTTCGACTAATAAAATATGAGACTAAATTTTCAATTACCGACAAAAGAAAATTGAAATAATAATTTAAAACATAAGATTTTAGTATTTTGTTAAAAGTTCTTAGTCAGAATGAAAACCAGCAGGTTTCATATCCTATGGCCAACACATAATGTTTTGAAGATGGTATACCATTTGCTATTATCTAAAAGCTATAACTAATATTTTTGCTATAATTTTGGTTCCATTATATATTTGTATGATTATTAAAAAAAGGCCACCATAAAAGAGACTAATCGGTTTCTCTATAAAATTATTAATTTGGACCATAGATCATTTTCCATTTAGTTATAGGTATCCAAAGACATAATGTAAACTAATAATGTCACGTGAATGTACTTTTTCCCATTATAAAGCTTACCATTCACACATTTAATTTAATAACATAGAGTAATAACATTCACTAAGGTAAAGTTAAAGGATTCACACATTTAACAGTTTTTTCTAGAAACTCTGCTATATAATGAATCACGGAACTCAAAATCATAAGATTGATAATCCAACTACATGATAAAGGAAATTTATAGTACAAATACTAACCGAGAAAAATAAATCGATCAATGAAGGATTTTTTAGTCTTTCTTTAATTTTATCCCTAATTTTTTTTTTCTAGTACGTGATCACCCCAAAACATAGAAGAAAGATAATGAGATCAGATTTGGGAAAAACTAAGGGTATTATGGTCACACCAAGTTTTATTAATAATTTAAATGATTGTAAATAACAAAAAATTACTAATAAAGTGATTAAATGATGTTTTAAAAAAGGGGTAATTACTAATCTAGCCAAATTAAGGGGGTAATTAGTAATTTTTAGCTAAAAATTAGTAGATAGCCAAAAATAGCCCACGAAACCGTAAGTTTCGAGATTCACCTACTGTTTCGCCATTTCGTCTACTGTTTTGCATTTTGTATATATAAAAAAATCATTTTTCACATACAAAACCATAGGTAATATATAACCTACGGTTTTCTCTCTAATACCTACGGTTTCCCAAACCGTAGGCTACGGTTTTAGCGAAAAAAACTACTTTTTTTTTTATCTACTATTTTGTCCAAAAAAGTTTTTTTTTCATCTACTATTTTGAGGGTTTTATCTACTATTATTTCCAAAAAACTATGTTTTTGTTATTTTATTTTAAATAAATACAGAGAATAAAAAAGTGTTTATATAATAATTTTAAAAACTATTTTGTTTAAATTTTAACAATTATTTGTTTTGAATTTGACTATTTTTTCGGTAAACTTGACTACTTTGTTGTTAATTTGACTACTTTTTTTTTTTTTTTTTTTTATTTTTTAATTTGATTATTGTTTTGTTAAATTTGACTACTTTTCGTGAGAGTTGACTACATTTTCGTCAGAGTTGACTAATGTTTTTCAACCTACTATATATATAATATATATATATATATATATATATATATATATATATATATATATATATATATATATATATATATATATTAAGTATTTAATATTTTTTGAAATATTTCATGTTTTTTAAAGTTTCTTCACTCTAGCTTTTTATTTTCAAAATTAAGACAATGAGTTGCAAAGAGTATTTTGTGTTGCTCATTACGGATGGAAGATGGGAGTTTGTTAATTCCCAATTATCATATGTTTGGCCACGGGATACAATCCGAGAATGTTTTATTTCGGTGTTGAATTTTATGAAACCACCACATACACTGAATTTGTTCATTTGGTGAAGTGTAAGATGGGTCTTCCCGAAGAATCAAAAGTCAGTCTGACTTATCAACATCCATAACAACTCTATTAATGTGGTGTTGTTGATGATCGTGATATTAGAAAGCTGATCAAGGTAATAAATACCGTTGACGATAAATCTGTGTATGTCTATTAGGTGGTTGAAGAAGGCGTATCGTGTAACGAAGTGGATGATAGAGGAAAGGCATCTATACCTAATTTATCAAGTGGAAAAAGGAGCAACACCCCAATAGGTAACTTTAAAAGTCCAAGTAAAAGTCAATATCACAGTGTTGCTGAAAATGAAAATGTATTGCCAGAACCGATTATGTATGTTACACCGGAGAATTATAAGTATATAGGTGATAATGATGTTGGTACATATGTTAACGATGTTGGTGTAAATCATAACCTTGACCAAAAAAAAGCACTAGACGTGGTGGATAAGGTTGGTAATGAATCTGGAAAAGAAGAAGTTTCATTTTTGGATGATGGTGAACTAAAAGGCTATGTTGAGTTTGCGGATTGTGACAAGTTGGATATAGCCGGCCTAGAGAGTGATTCTAACGAAGAAGAATTAGATGGTGAACCTAAACTTATTTATTCAAATACCATGTTTCATGGTATGCCCCCATTGCCTTCATGTCCTGTAAATGATAATGTGAACATTCCATGTCAGAGGTTGGATATAAATGAAAAGATTAAGGTTCTAGACATTTTTGATGACAAAGAGTTGCTCAAGCTTGCAATTGGAACACAATGCATGGAACAAGGTAAGCAGTATAAGACTACCAGATCGAGCAAAGAAAGGTTCGAGGTGGTTTGTTTGGTATAAAATTGTTCTTGGATGGTTAAGGCAAGGGGAATCAAATCTACTACTACTTTCCAAGTCGCAAAAGTTGTTGACCAACACACATGTTGTGCAACAAACTTGGAGTCTAATCATCGACAATCAAAGAAAAAGGTACTCAACCACTTTATCGCTGAAGTTTTGGCTGGAGATTATAATAGAGTTTATCGGGGTAATGAAATTGTAAGAGACATTAATTCGAAATTTCCAATCAATATCTCATACCAACAGGCATGGCGGGAAAAACAATATGCGTTGTTGATGTTAAGAGGTACCAAAGAGGAATCATTCACCAAACTACCAGCGTATCTGCACAACTTGGTCAAGCATAATCCAGGAACTATTACTCAGATAAGAACAAACATTGAAGATCGATTTGAGTTTGTGTATATCGCACTGGGTTGCTCGGTAAGCAGTGATAATTTTTTATAACAAATATAACATATGATTCTCAATTTGTATTTGTTAATCAAATAAAAAATAATTGTAGGTACAAGCATTCATCAAATATTGTAGGCCGACGCTAATAATTGATGGTGGTCACCTAAAGGGTGAATTCAAGGGTACGATGTTGCTCGTAGTGACAATGGACGGTCAAAATCAGATTTTTCCTGTTGCTTATGCCATATGCAAAAGTGAATGTACGGAGACATGGTCCTGGTTTCTTTGAAAACTACGTGAATGTATAGGCAACGTGGAAGACCTTACATTCATATTTGATAGGGCTCCATCCATAGCGACGTCAATTGCAAATATATTTCCTCACGCCCATCATGGAATATGTGGTATCCATTTGTATTTCAACATTTCAGCAAAATTTGGAAGCAACGATACAATATATGCATTATTTTGGGAGACAAAATTTTTCTAGATTAAGAATTGATGCTCGTGAAGTGCTTACGAATATCGATCATCCACTTCAGCTTCTCTTTGTCACTTCCTCATCCATCTTCTCTCCTACTCTATGAGGATCAACGTTGGGAGGGGGATTCGTTGACACGTTATGGGAACTTGTCCCCAAAGGAGGCTTATTGTTGGACGTTGATGGCCAATTAAATTTTGCCAAGATCCTTTTCATCTCCTCTGATCTTTCTGTCATTTTCAAACTTCAATTTTTTTTTTGTTATTGTTTCTTTCATTTCTGAATTGATAACAAATCCACATTATATATAACACAAGATAACATTCAACGACTAGAAGATAGTAGTCATAACCTATAAAAAGTAGTCAATCAAATCAACTAATAGTCAAATGCTATTAGACAGTAGTCAAAACCTATAAAAAAGTAGTCAAATAACAATCATGTGTCGAATATTTACTGTTCGATAAGACTAAACAAAACATAGTAGTCAATGGATAGTAGACAGTAGTCAAATCCTACAAGACAGTAGTCAAAGTACAATAATGTTTGGTAGGATGTGACAACACATAATATAGTAGTCATAAGCTATTTTACAGTAGTCAACACCTATAAAAAAGTGGTTAAATTGTCAATTATATATAGAGACTTATATGTATTCTATAAACCTCAATCACATAAACTAATGTCCACCCCTCAAGAAAAATGGTGGTTGATGCCACAAGAGAAGCGATCACAACTATTAATAAAAGAAGAAGAGATTAAGAATGAGACTAAAGGCATTGAAGAAAATAGGAAACGATTGGATAAGTTACAAGCCGATATCTGGTCTAAAATGAAGCCGGCCCAAGACAAAGAACGTGACATTGAAACTGCACGGGTTTGGGTAGAAGATGCAACAGACTACGCCAACAAAAAAGAGGTTAAGATGAAAAAAATTCTCAAAAACATACAAAATAAATACGACTGGGTGATTCAAGAAAAAGAAAAATTTACAAATGATTTTCACAATGTTTGAATTTTAACTCATCTACCAGACACAAACCGTTCACCATCTTCCCCCACCATTTGTATGGGAAACACCAGACCCTTTGTTGGCTGTTTTATTGCCAATGTAACTTTTATTCATGTTAAATAATGATATTTGTAATATATTCGTCATTGTCTATGTAATATATTTGCTATTGTGTTTGTAATATATTTGTAATATATTAGTTTTGTAATATATTTGACATTGTGTTTGTAATATATTAGAAATATATTATGTTTGTAATATATTTTCCATTGTCTTTGTAATTTCATTGGGGGCCTGAGCAATAGGCGACATTCGAGACTCTCAAACAGCGGTTGTGTGAGGCACCGATTCTCACCCTACCAGAGGATGTTAATGATTTCATGGGTTACTGTGATGCTTTGATCACGGGTATGGGTACGGTACTGATACAGTGGGGTCACGTGATAGCAGGTTTCGGGAACCAGGTTAGATTCCGGTTAGGACTCAAGTTTAGTGGTGTGTTAGGTCGGGTGCATGCTCAACCCGGTTTGGAAAGTGTTGTAAGACTACGGGGGTAGCCATAGCATTCACTAGTTTGTCGAGTCAAAGGAACCGCAATCTCGAATAAGTCTCGTATAAATCTCCGGTAATAACCTGCTAGACCCAGGAAACTCCGAATCTCAGATGGAGACCTTGGAATTTCCCACTGCATCACGGCCTATATGTTGGCCGGATCGTCTAGAATAGCCTTCTGGTTGACAAGGTGCCCAAGAGATAGCACCCCACACAACCAAAACTCACATTTGGAGGACTTTATAAAAAGTCTTTCCCTTACTTAAATTCAATTAAGTCTTCACACCACATGAAAATTGAAGGATTCCCAATCCTTCTCGCTTTCTAGTATCCCATTGATGACAACCTATGCTTACCAATGCTAGTGATTAATCACCGGCTAAACCTTAAGATCGGCCATACTCATAAATCTTGATGAGTACTCTTTAAATCTGGTACAGTATGACACCTCAGTCTACCTCCCGTTCTGACAACTAGAGACTCTAATCTTCACTCTGGCTGACGAGTCCTTGTTCCCATTTCCAATCTCACAGTACCAATAAACTCTACACATCCCATGCAAAAATACAACTCTCGTGAACATCCGATGACCAACCACTTATACATCTAACACCCACAACTGACACTACCCTCTTCATGATACTAGTCCTGTCCGGGAAACGGTAGTTCCTTGAACTCCAAAGTTCAACCATAGACAATTGTCGACCACGCCTGAACAATGATAGAACCCCTAAGCGTTGAATTCACTAGTGAACTATCATTCTAACCTAGACCGAGGATCTTCCAAACAATACTACTACATAGATCTCGAAAAAGATCCAGAATGATAATGGTACATGCCGAACCCGCTCTGCAAGGTACGTCCCTCTGTGGGTTCATCAAGGACCTTTTGGCATGTAGGATGGCATATATGATCCTTGATAACCTAGACACTAGCTGAAAACCGACATGAGGTCTAACTTATCCAAACTCACTTACAATTCCAAAGTGATATGTATTCCCAACATCCATCTAGCAGCAGTAGAAGATGACATACCCGAATCATTTGGAGGGATACATATCACCTTCAGCTGACATGATCAACCCCGCCACACTTGTAGCAACCTAAAGCCTTGGAGTGACAAACTCCCTTGTGCATTTTCTCATACGTGCAGTACTGACTCCGGCCCTGCTAGCCTTTCACATGAGCTTCAGAAGCCTTGGATCTCTTCCTAAGACCCTCTACTATGCACCTGGCACAAACTTCTCTTTCAATGGTGCTCCAAATCGATCTCGTATCTACAACTCTTGGAAATCATATCCTTTAGGGTCTGACACCTTATCATGCTCACTAGCTCACTTGCCAATGGCTAAGCTATAATAACTGGAACATCCTCAGACCCCAAATCAAGTCATAAACTCCTCCCAGAAGCTTCTCAGATTCTCCAAGACTCTCGCCGATTCGAGTATGGATCTTGCGATTTCAGTTTGTTCAAGTACTCAAAAGGTCAAGGATTTATAAGATAAACCTGAACTTGGGATGTTACAACATCTTCTTGATAAATAGACATCAAGTTTATGATAAAAGGTACCATCATAATATAGTTTTACTTATCCTATGTTGGGATATATTGTGTCTTGACAATCCATAACTAATATACACTTCACATTCTATGTATGCATGATCATAATATTTCTTTAACTAACTCAACACACATAAGTTTCATGACATGCATAAGATACAATATTAAAATTTAAATAACATAAGAATATTTAGAGGACTCATCATAACACTAAGGAAAATAACAAATTTAAAGAAACTATGCATAATAACTTTTAACATGCTTTTATATTCCATAAATATCTTAAACATAATAGCTAACTCTATACATGAGTTCTTTGATTTAAAACATGTAATAACTATGTCATGTACCCTATTGTTGGAAATATCCACATATACTCAACTCGAGAAGTTAGTTTAAATAACTTCACTTCCTTCCCCTTTGCTACTAGCTTATATACATCTCCAAACTATTGAAACGCATAGGTTTAGATTTTAGAATCAAAAGCTTGACTTAAACCAATCATGGAATCTTAATTCAAGAATTATATATATATATATATATATATATATATATATATATATATATATATATATATATATTTCTCAACATTGAGTCTTACATCGACTTTCATAGCTATATAAAGATTAAAACATGCTATAATTAGTTCTTGAGATATTACTTAGAACTCTCGGAACAACTGCGAAAAAAATGAAAGATTTGGGTTTGTCACGTCAAACTTAAAGTCAGGAGAATACATGGACGATGTCCCTTTAGGCATGGCCTTCACATTGGCCGCATACTTCAGAAAGTAGTAAAATACTTTCCAATTACGTTAAGCCTTATTCTCGCTAGACTAAATGTTCAATGCTAGTTTGTTAATGGATAGACATATCAGTTTTAGAATAAAGAATCTATTAATCCATTTCTGTGTATCTAGTTTAGCCATACATGATAAGAGTATGAACATAGGTTATTGGAAGATAGGAATATGGGTGAGCTAGTTATATTTCTTACA